GGATAGGATCTAGGGGATGTTTATTTTCAATGTGATTGATGTGCAACTAAGTTTTCAGTGACTGATCAATAGTGTTCGTAAGTTTCCTCAATGCTTTATATAATCTTACTAATATAGTAATATTATAAAGAGGAAGGATTTAATTGTTTGCATTGAATATAGACTCCGAAACTATACTGGATCGATTTGAAAAGTTTTTTCTCCGTTGGAAAGTAACACTATGTCCCTATCCCCGGGTGACTATATAGSCTATATTATATTTTTTTTAAATAGGGAATCTTACTAAAACTCTAATTATGTAACCCAAGGTATTAAATATATATAGGCACTATTATTATATARACGTAAAGTTTGTGAGGTTGTAATCTCTGGATCTTTTGAACCGATTTTTAAAATTCTTTTAGTATCTTTTACTTATTCTTTTAGTGTCATAGGTTAAATATATTTTCGAAATTCAACCCCTATAAGGGTTAAAAGTATTATAAAATATAAAGAAGGAAAACTGTCTGTTTGTTCGGTTAAATCTCTGGAACTACTTAACCGACCCTACATTAATTAAAAAAATAATAAATAATAAAAAACATTTTTTTTAAACATCTGGAAGCTACATTYTCCCATAGATCTATAGGCTATATTTTATCTTGATARGTAAGTAGCCTTAAATTTTATATTGCAAATTTGAAATTATTTTATAGAAATAATAGATATAATATCAGTAATAACTATTGATGTTGGTTATAAAATTTAGTAGGGATGAATAAGAAATTAGTAACTTGTTATAAGGCACCATTTTTTAAAACTATTTCACCTTCACAAAGCTAAAAATGCAAGAAAATATTACAATTGAACATTTGAACATAATTTTAGTCCTGTGTTTTATACGACTGTATTAAAAATCTTTAATGGAGATTAAGATGGAGTAAATCTACAGGAATTTGCCACTGAAAGTTTTAAACATGTCTTATACGAATCAAACATAAATTTTGCATTATATAAAGTTGGTATTTTTCAAAGGTATAATGAAGTGCACTGGGATCAGCTAGTTAAAGATAAACTAGACTAAGATTCTTTAAAATTCATAACGGACATACACGCAGTCGCCGATCATACGTCACTATATATTTTGCGACCAAAAAGTTACAATATGAAAGTCCCATCAAATAGAAGAAAAATKCGTCTTGTACTAAAAGCTCGATTTTAAAACATATTTAAATTCCTAATTCAATATTCTCTTTTCTAGGTTATACAGGGAATGGATTTTCGATTTGTTGTATTGTTTAATAAGTAGTATTCACTTTTAATTTTGTTACTAAAWTACATATATTTTCTACAGTACAAAGATAATAGCAGACAATTTCAAATATTTTTTCAAAATTGAAATTCTATTTTTTCCCTTCTGCTTACCTATTGGTCTAAATTCTAAATAATTAAAAAATAGTTCCTACTTGATGAAAAATATCAAATTTAATAAATACCTGTGCAGTGTGCAAAAAAATAGTGATTCAACTCAAAACACTACGGTGGTGACTGTCGATACAATCATAGATTTCAGCCTTGCAGAAAAAGTGGAACCACTTGGAACCGATATGTCGACTTCACCACTCACCAGGAACATTGTTATCGTTACGAAAGGTTTGAGTACTTATA